AACTAAGCCCGAATGAAAAATTGGATGAGTTAAATGCAAAAGTATTGTGGTTATACCAATTATTAACATGTAGTAACTAAGATTGTCAAGTATTAGTAACCATTTTCCCTCAATTTTTATTTTTAAAATCGATTTATTTTACCATTTTTGGTCTTGGTATTGCGAAGTGCATTTTGTCCGAATTTGGGCAACACTACTTCTAATCATTTGAGCATGCACTTTAAACACTTCTACAGTAATAGGGCGCTCATTTTGGGATTAATTTTTATTTTGCTTGCATCACGTTCAATTAATATATTCAGATGACCGATACTTACTTTAAAGTTTGGATGACCGTCGATAGTCGATATGATGGAATTATCGATATGTTTCTTCCGATCTTCGATATTTTAATTTAAAAATCTTTTTCTAAAGCTCTTGAAATTATTTATAAATTTGATCTTTAGGAAAAAATTATACTCATCTTGCCCGTTTCATATAGAATGTAGTCCGTCGTAATATATCGAGTATCGATGGGCACCCCTAAATAAAATTAAATAGCGCGTGGGACTTTTCTCACTAATTAAACAAAATTTGCCCTAATTTATTAGTTAAAAACTTCTCAATCCAAGGCCACGAATTGTCAAAGAAATCCATGTAGAATGCAAACAATTAGTATCACTGAATTTGATCTATGAGTTAATGGAAGGCACAATTGGTCGAATGGGATTTTTTGGAATAAACAAAACTGAGGATGAGGGCAAAATAACGAGATTATAATAATAATAATAGAAAATAACTTTATTCTGGGACAAAGTCCCTTTAGAATAACAAAAAAATACGTAATTAAAAGACTACATCTGCCCAAAATAAAACATTAATAAAAAAAGAGAAAATAATGAAAATATTAGTAAAACAATCTATATACAAAAAAAAAAAATCTATATACAAAACACTTGAACTATGGTAAGACACTTAAATCTATGTACAGTAGAAAAAAATATAATTATACACTTTTGAGAAATAAAATAATCAAAAAATACATTGAGTTCTTCTTTAAAATAAGCTGTGTTTCTGCTAACAAAGGAAAGACGAATCTGACAATATAAAATGTCAGTGTATTTAAATCATGAATAATATCTAAACACATCATTAACTTATTGTAACTATAGGTACAAATTTATTTGTATAAGAATAAAAAATAATAATAAAACAAACGATAGATGCATTCAGTGGCATCAGGAGTAGGACGATATTGTAAAATCTCTAGTGAAGTTTAAAGAGTATGGAATAGTACTATCATTTGATAATGAATGATATAATAAAAATGTATAATATCAAAAGTTTAGCAAGCATCTGACTGTTTTGGGATAGGAATTGGAATACGAGGGTTTTGAATGTGGATAATGCCGAATTTTCATAGGGAGGGAATTCCAGAAATTGACAGCGCCTATATATAGGCCCAATTTTTTGAAGGAAACTTTTTTCTCGATTTGGTGATCAAATTATCTTAGATCCAAGTGAAAAGCAAAGGGATATTTACGAATTTTTAGTACCTATTTAAATAGACAAATTTTAGCGATCTGCGGATTGAAAGCGCCCCAATTCCGAGAATTTTCGTAAATAAAATATTTGTAGATTACGATGGGATGAATCAATTCACGAAGTTTCAGGCGGATATTAATAATTTCTTAAAAAGAGGTCTGTACCACGGAATATATAATTATTGTAAAACAAAAAATGTATCACTACATGTAATTAATACAATGGTATGACAACAAAAGTAATTTATCGTTCATTTAAAATTTCATTTAGTATTCCATAGTTTCTTGTTTGTAGCAACTATTTTGCAGTATTGTTCCTATATTGCTCAGATTATTTCTTTAATATATCTGCATAGTTATGTAAATACTTCTGTTATTATTTATTTTTTTATTGTAACATGCATTTTGGCCAGGTGTTATGTTAATTTTTATGTACAATATTGTTATTCTTAAGGGACTTTGTCCCAGAATAAAGTTGATTCTTCTATTCTATTCTATAAAAATAAATGTATGTTTATGTTTTGTATTTTTTTTTTTTGCGTATTTAAAGCTATGGTATCCAAGAAATTGTTTATATTACATGTTTTTCTTTTTATTGGAAGATATGAGGCAGTGAAATGAACTCTCAATTCTCCGATGCTTCAAATTTGCCACGGGTAATGTGATGAAAAATCTTTACGTAAAATAGAAGAATGGAAATAAATGAATCATAAAATGCTAAGATATGTTGCTACATCTTATCTTTGAATATATACTAAAATTTCAATAATAGGAACATAGGGGAGGGGGGGGGCGTAAAATACTTGCGTATCTGCTTCTAGTTCTTAGCTTAGCCGTCTAGTCGACTTTTTCTTTTTTCTTATCTAATTTTAGTTTACATATTTCATTCATTCTTGTAGATTAATTGTCATTGATTTCGACTTTATTTATTTTTGCTCATCTAAATGCGAAACGATATTCTCGCGATATCTATTTTTATTGAGGGGGGCGACGGCCCCCCTCCTGAATTCTGTTCCTATGGTCGTATCTGAATGAAAGAATTGGCAAGTTATCGACTGATGTGAAACACTTTGATCTTGACTGATATCAGTCCGTTGGCCTCGACCATTGCATGTCCATACTTGTAGCCTCCCTCCAGGTCTCTCTTCTGCTTTCTGTAGTTAGTTTTGTTTTGTTCACAGTTGAGTGAGCAGGTGTATTTAGTCATTAACTTCAAATTTGTCTCGTTTTGAAAAGTTTTAGTGATCGTCATATGTTATTTTCTAAGTTTTCAATCTCCGTTGTTTCCGTATAACCAAGTTCTGAGAAATAGTCTATTTTATGTGAACAGCCTAATTCAAAAGGAAAAAATATGAACGAATATTAAGGTAGGTACCTGGTACGTTACTGCAACTTGTTCTCTTAAATATATTTACTGTAAATACCACATTAAATAATTATTTTTATCTCAAATTTCCCTAATGATTTTGATTAAACTCGTTATATCGTTGTACAATGAGCTTCTCTTTAATATAAAGTGGGCATTATACTCTCATTGAAATAGTTTGACAGGATTTTAATGCAGATTATTCAATACGGATGTGTCTAAGGTATCTTTAGTTTTTTTTTTTTTTAATTGCTAACTACATATTGTTACTATTAATAAATAAGAGACAAATACGAAAAAGATTTATAATTAATTCAAAAAAGTGATAAGTAGATATATATATATATATTTTTTTTTTTTTTTTTTACCTACAAACCTGACAAATTCCTATTTAATAAGCAAACAGCCTGCACCAAAATGCCAGCATTGCTACGGTACTCTCATAGTCCAGCCATATTGTCCAATAGTGTCCTTATTACTGATGGATTTTAACCAAATTGGAACTCGTACCAAAATTATCACTAGTTTTAAATAATGACGAAGTTAAAATAAAATAGGTGATAAATTTTCTTAAAGCTAGCGATTTGCTAAACAAAATTTAAATTTAAGTTTTTTTTACTTTCACTTACATACATAGATAGTATGGAACAGTATTGCGATCGTGAAAATTCGGAATATATGTGTGTATATATATATATATATAAAGTTTCTTTTCATGTATTGCATTAATTATTATATTCTAAGGTACAATTTTTTATTTTAAAAGCTTTATAATATTTTCTATTGAATCTACTGATTTCTATTATTTGGTGGTATCATCGTTACTATTTCTCTTGAAAATTCCTTTACTTGATGTAACATCACAATTTTCATATTTTCTGACGAAAACAGTTTTTGATCCAGGTCATAATTACAGCTCTTATTCTAATTCATAATTATTACTCTTATTGTTAAAGTTTTATTTTAATCTTATTTATTGTATATATATTATTTTTCTGTATAATTTATTTTGTTTATTGTACATAGAGTGTGAATGTAATCTCAGAACACTATTATAAATGTCCTTGAGACAGATTGTAATATTTTTCAATAAATAAGTTTTAAAAAAAATCCTAACAAGTAAAGAAAAACTAAAACATTGAATGTTATCAATATATGAATCAAAAGAAATAGGGCGTGCATTTTCTATGATAGCGATTGTTCACCTACTGATAGTAAAGCTAAGAAAAATAAATATTTTTATTATAATGTTTTCGATAGAGAAGAATATAAAAAAAACTTTAAGTAATTTAATGAAAACTGATGTTTTAGTACTTTTAATTTAGTTTTAATACTTTTTTACGCTTGAAAAACCAAAAAAACGTAAATGCTAATTTTCGTGTTACTATTGTTTTAAATAAATCTTGTGCGTATTTTCTAGCAATATTGGGTTATTGCAAAGTTTTTGAAATGTATTTTTAACAGAGCTAAACCTTAAACCTTACAGCTAACCTGTAACAACTCATTAAAGCTATTAAAATAGCACAAACCCTTCAATATTATATTGAATGTAGGAAAGGAAAACCTCGTAACTCCATCTGTTTTTGTAAACCACATAACTCTGAGCTATATATACCAAGAAAGATATGTAAGTACATCTGCATCTTTAACCTACATATCAATGATTATGGATTGTACTACTATTAGTTCTTCAACTCATATTTTTTCATTGTAAAATTTACTTAAATAGAGATTTTCATTGCCTACCATCGATAAGTCAAATGTTTTCACACCAATTGTAAGTAGATAATGTTCTTATTTCAATGTGGGGAAAATGCATCAACTTATATACTAATTTAATTTTCTAAAATGTTACATAATGATTTTTCGATAAATATCTAATTATTTAAATATATTATCAGATCTTGAGACATTAAATTACTGTAAATGTATTGAAGGTTATATTGATTTTTTTACTCATCTATGCAATATTTTTACTTTTTTTTCAAACTTAAACTAATAAGTTTACATTAGAGTCTAAATACCTATATCTCCTAACGTTAAAATTATTTAGTAACTTATATTTATTTATTAATTTATATTTATTTATTTTTAAACCATCTTTGTTTCAGAGGGAAAGAACTCCAGCTCTTCGCCACAGAGAACTCCGTTGCAGTCAGTGCACAATGTCTTGCCCAAGAAGGAGTAAGTCAAATACCTGTGCATTGCATGCCATTTGCATGAAGTCGCATGGCTGTATAAATTGGATTGAAATATATTTCGTTGCATTCTTTGCATTTTTTCTTAAACTTTAATTACTTTACGTCAGTGAATATCTGTAACTTTTTTCCTTTTTTTCTTTACGTATCTTAAAGGATAAGTGTTTATTGACCAGAGATTAATAGAACTTAGTGTTTTATTAATATAGTAATTTATCTTATATTTCTCTAAGCGTAATTTGAATTTGATAGCTATTTTAATAGGTAAATATTTACCTATTAAAATAGGTAAATATTTAAAGTACAAATATAAATCTTTATGTTTATCCGCATTTGTTTATGACTCTAAGGATTGTATATAAAAAAAAAAACCAATAATTTTTTTTTGTTTCTCGACTATTTCTTTCTGTCGTTGATTATACGAGATATCACCATAACTTAGTGGAAATGAGCGTTCATCAAATCCCCAATGTTATGATATTCTTTCCAAATATCGACTTCCCATACCTATACGAAGTCCCACCATTCACATACATATACAGGGTGTCTTAGTTCTCAATGGTCAAACTGTGGGGGGAGGGAGGGGGTGATTCCAGACAAAGTTTTCAATAAAAAAGTTTATTTAATGAATGGGCCGATTCCGAACTGAAAAGGGAGAGGAAAGGGTCAGTTTTGTGTTTTTCTTAAGGTAGCCACGTTTTTTATTCAATAAGAAGGAATAACTCCAAAATCTAAGTGACGATTCTAGACAAAATTTCCAACAAAAAAGTTCATTTTATGCATGGGCCGATTATAAACGCAAAAGAAGTTAAGACCAATTTTGTGTTTTTGTTAAGATAGTCACTGTTTTCATTGAATAAGAAGCAATTTCTAAAAAACTGTTCAAGATAATTAAATTCTAAGTACACCATCAAGTAGAATTATTTTTTTTTAGTAAACTGCAATTAAATAGTAAATTTAAAGTTCAGTGATAAAAGATATACTGTTACTGTAGCCATACATATCTCTGTACTGTGGCCGAATTAGACCTCAAAGTCCCTTTTATTATTGACCTTAGTAAATTTAATCACTGTTTTCTCTCATATATTTTGTCTACTTTACGATGGTGTATTTCAAATTTAATTATTTTGAACAGTTTTTTAGAAATTGCTTCTTATTCAATGAAAACAGTGACTATCTTAACAAAAACACAAAATTGGTCTTAACTTCTTTTGTGTTTATAATCGGCCCATGCATAAAATGAACTTTTTTGTTGGAAATTTTGTCTAGAATCGTCACCTAGATTTTGGCCATTAAGAACTAAGATTCCTTTTATATATATAATAATTTTTTTAATCGAGCCTTAAATACTATCATTTAAAATTATTATTTTAATCGGATAATAGATTTCATCAAGTGAATTAATTTTCTAAAAAGTTACATGACAAGTTTTCGGAATGAACGTTGATACCTGATTATTTAAATATAATATCAGATCTAGAATTATCAAACTGTAGTAGATAGATAGTTCATTTTATTTGTCTAAGGAAATTCCTGTACAAATAAATATAATGGTATAATTAACAATGTTAGATCTTGAATCTAGTACTGCATTCAAACATAACATTAACAATGTCCACAGCATTAAGTATGACTAATATTATAACAGATAAGTAAACGATATATATATATATATATATATATATATATATATATATATATATATATATATATATATATACACATAACAATTAGTAAAACATTTTTTTTATTTATTTATTTTTTTTAAATGTTCGAGAGGTATAAGACAAATGACAATATAAATAAGAATTAATATATGTTATATGATTAACTTTACCACTTAACAGTTCAATGAACAGCCCTGTATGAAATAATACAGTTGGTTTATTTTTTTCGTAGTGTCTATTTTCAGTATCTCCTCCACACTAGCATCTTCTCTGGATTCAGTGATAAACGTCTTTAAGTACTTATTTCTCGGTTCGTTGAACTTGATACATTGTATCAGAAAATGAGTTACCAGGTCAGTTACAAGGCAGTTGCATGCACCACATACCTCACTGGATTTAATAGTCAAAGTAGCATCTTTTAAGTATATTTTCATAAAATCTTTATTTGCTACTCTGAGACGACTAACGGCTCTTAATTTGTTTAAATTCAGAGCCCTGAACTGAAGATAATCCTCTGGTCTGTTAACATTAAAGGAGCAGATTTTTCTATATCTTGGGTTTGATTTAGAGTTTAACACTCTGTCGATGTCCTTGGAAGCGTGATGGTTTCTTATTTTTCCATGATTTGATCTTTGAACCTCATCAGATCTTGGGAGAAAACACAAGAAAACATCTCCTGACATCCGAGTTCCGCCACAATCATCTATACTTGTGTAACCCAGTTATAAGTTGGATCAGGTTTTCCAATGGATGAGTCTAGAGCTCTAAGCCTATTAAAGCATTGTCTAGGTAGTCTTTCGTCACTCATTAAGCTTAACTTTGTCCAATAGTTGATCACTTTTTTCAACACTTCTACACTTAATGGAGATCTCCCACTTTCAAGGCGAGCTACATAGTTCGGTGTATTTCTTGGCCAATGGAGCAATGATTTGATAAATCGAACTTGCGTAATCGGATAATAGATTAGTATGATTATTTCTTATATTTATTGCTAAGAAACAGTGCTCAAATTTCACATAAATTTTAATATTCAGTCGTGTCAAGTGTCGCTTGCAAGTGACTTATTAATCGATTAGAAGACTAATTAGTTTAAATTTTACACACATATATATATATATATATATATATATAATATATATATAATATATATATATTATCCTCTCCCCTCCTTCTCTACAGATCTGTATTTTTTCCATATTAGCATGTACCATACCCTCTTAATCTAATCTCGATTGGTCGTTGACTACAATAATATTTATTGGAAATTCTTAAGCCTTCTAAGCGAATCACAGATTCAGATGTGCTCTGAATTGGTACTCACTTTGGAAAATAAGATTAAATCATGACAAGTCACAACATATAACATTTCCACTTCGACGAGAAACGTGCCCACCAGTTTATATAGGAGAGAACCGAATTCCTCAGACAAACAGTACGTTACCTGGGACTAATATTCGACAGAAGGATGACCTGGGGCCCACACGACAGACCTTAAACAAGCGACTGAAAATCCTGTACTCATGTTTCCAAATCAAAATTGAAAATCACACAAAAACTCAATATATACTCTTAACTACTCAAACCCATTTGGACATACGCCTCACAAATTTACGGTTCTGCAAAAAAGATTAAAAAATTTTACGACTTATAACAGGAGCTCCTTGATACGTAAACAACAAAACTTTACATAACGACTTACGACAACCAACTATCGACCAACATATACGCGATCTCTACTCCAGAATTCATCTTAAACTACACGGACATCGCAACGGACTTATTAACGACATGGCCACAGCTGACATGCCTATCAGGATATGACTAAAGAGGAGCTGGATGAGAGATCTCCTTTCTGGAATTAAGGAAATAAATCAAGACCAGGAAGAAGTGCTGCTGGGTACTATTTTTTTCCTCATGCCTAAAATGTTAATTTTTCATAATAGTTACAGCACATCTGCTTCTTCTCAAGCTCATGACAAGTATGGATGAAAATATGGAGAAAAAAAAAAAAAAAAGATGTGCTCGAGTCTTCTGAGTGATAAGAAAAACCTTTTTACGTTAAAATGTATTTATTTATTTCTTATGCAGTTCTAATAGTCCGTGGCACAGACCCCTTTTTTATCGAATTATTAACATCCACCTGCAACTTCGTAAATAATTTCATCTCATCGTAACCTACAAATATTTTATTTATGAAAACTCTTGGAATTAAGGAGTTTTCAATCTGGAGGGGACAAACTTTGTCTATTTAACGGGATAATAAAAACTCGTAAATACAGATTTGATTTCTATTTGGATCGTAAGATAATTTGATCACAAAATAGATAAAAAAGGTGGCCTTCAAAAATATTGATCCGTTTGACGTGACCTGCACCCGCAAATTTTTAAAATAACGAGATTATATAGGATAAACGGCCCAATATTTTTGTAGGCCACCTTTTTATCTATTTTGTGATGAAATTATTTTACAATCCAAGTCGAAAACAAATGTGTATTTACTAGTTTTTAGTACGTAATTAAATAGACAAAGTTTGCCGACCTCTAGATTGAAAACACCCCAATTCCAAGAGTTTTCGTAAATAAAATAGTTGTAGATTGCGATGAGATGAAACTATTTACGAAGTTTCATGCGGATGTTAATAATTCGATAAAAAGGGGCCTGTACCACAGACAATAGCCATTTAGAATAATTATTTCTGAGAAACAAGTGCTCAAATGTCACTTCAATTGTGTCATGTGTCACTTGAAAGTGACTTATAACCCAATTAGAATAATTATTTTAAATTATATACTACCTATACTATATATATATATATATATATATATATATATATATATATATATATATATATATATATATATATATATATATATATATATATACTAACTTCCTTCAAGAATTCATCAAATCATTTTGATAACAAGATTACACCCATGTACCATCAATCACTATAGTTTGTTCTTTATAATTAGCGGTCGTATACTATTACATCTCTGATTGTAATTTTAAAAAATATTTTTAGCCCTGAAGATGACCCAGATGTTTGGGTTTAAACGTTGGCAAAAATAAAATTTTTTAAAAATACTGCGTCCTGAATATTTATCACCCATTAAATTATAAGTATTACTCCTCTTCTGCAAATCTTTATTTTTACCATATTAGCGTTTATCGTACTAGTATAAACTAGCTTCCAATGGTCGTTGAGTATTGAATTCTGATAATATTTATTACATATTTTTAAGTTTCCTAAGCGAATCACAGCAGATTCAGATGTACTCGGGTCATCTGAGCGATAAGAAAATCCTTTTTACGTTAAAA